ATATGGTCAAAATACTCACTTGCCTAATAATTGTGCACACAGTGTATTTGGCATGGTGTTTAATTACAGCAGAATCAGGGATCCAATGAATATTTAATTGCAGAATTCTCCTGGATACTGAATAACTGACATTCTGCTTAAAACAAGTCTAAAGGTAAAAAATTGATATATTGCAGCAGAATGCTAGCAATACCAGCAAAAAACAAAAAAGCTTTTTTGTTCCTGTAGTTACTCAGTTTCACTACATGTAATGTATGGGTTAGAATGCATTATGGTTATATCCAGCAGTTAGAATAAAGCATTAATTTTTGAATAAACAAGCGTACCAGAATTTCAGTGTAACTCCACAATATTCATCACCAACTGAAATTTCTGGATTGTAAGAAAAATATAACTCTAAAATGCAAACTACAAAATTTCTATCATGCAACTCTTTTTTAAAGCTGCAAGTCTAAGCACAAACCATTTGAGAATATATCAGCAGTCAAGAATTATATTGGAATATGTAAGATGAGAACAAGGGTCAACTCATCCTTACACATTTGAAAGCAAGCTTTAGAAGAGAATTTTAGTGTCTAGGCATAGCAATGGAAATAAAGCTAAAATAGATGTGGTCATGCATCTTGGCTGTTGGTTAGCAACAAGGCTTACCCAACTACTCTTACATAAAAGCTGGCACTGACTGTGCTAATTAGATTACAATTAGCCTTGATCAGTGGTTTCCAATAACAAATGTCTTTTAGATGCAAAGAAGTCATCATTCAAAACACCAAGACATTGAAAGGCAGAAACTAAGGAAGGTAAAGAGAAATGATTCATAATTGTTACCCTGAACATTCTTCCTCTCAATTCAGTTCCTTAAGTCTCCATTAGCTTTCCACATGTGCATTTTGCTTTCCCTTTTTCTATTAACTATCATATTGGCTGGCTCTGTCCTTTTCTCTAAAAGAAGTGATTTACATTTATTTTTCGTTTGGGGACTTCCAGATGATAAAAGTAGCTTTTCCTGCATTCATTTGGTTTTCTGTTTTTAATTTTTTAATTATTATTTTGCATATATATATATATATATATATATATATACACACATACATACACATACATACATACATACATACACATACATACACATACATACATACACATACATACATACATACATAAACACACACACACATACATACATACACATACATACATACATACATACATAAACACACACATACATACATACATACACATACATACATACATACATACATAAACACACACATACATACATACATACACATACATACATACATATACGCACACACATTTTTGGGGTATAGGAGGGCAGATGAAAGAAATAGACATACCGAATGCCTTTTTTTTTTTTTTCCCCCCAGCAACTGGACCTTTTCCTTGACTGCAATTAGTGTACAGGGTACCAGTATCTCTATTTCCAGTTTCTTTTCTTTCTCTAAGGAGTTTTCTCTTTACATAAGAGCTGGGTAAGGCAGTGGGCTTATGTGGTGCTGAGAGCCTTGAGGAGCAGGCAGTTCTGAGTGTTTGTCAATTCAAATACCCCAAGTGCTGGGGAGTGAGAGGGACTACTCTGCTATCTATTGATTTAGTTCTTTCTATGAGTTCATTTGACTTAAAATGTTTGTTTTATCCAATGCACAAATCTTTTAGATGTAGTTCCCTTTTATAAATGGACTTATGCACACACATATGTATACTGAACAGTAGCTCACTATGCAGCATACTCACCTTAAGGTCTTTGGTCTTGCAACACAGTTGTAACCCATGCAGAATTAACTGGGATCAACTTTCAATCATATATGGAACAACTGCTCGATAGCAAAAGTCTTAGAAAACTTATGCTATCTGCCTTGCTGGGCACCAGCTCTAGACTTTCCCATATCTCTGAATAATACCTTTCAGGAACTGGCAACTTTAGTTCAGGTAAGAATCACAGATAATTAATAATAGTTCCATTTACAAATCTCTTTCCAAGTTGTGTTCAATGAAAAAGACAGTCTGAAAATTATAATAGTATATTACATTGGTTATATTTTAATACACCTAGCCCTCTCACTTCATCAGGTGTTGCTTGATGGCAGATTCCTGTAAGGGGAGATTCTTTTCTTCATGGGCCTAATAAAGAGTTGGGCTCTGTAGTGGAAGAGGAAACAAATTGAAGGGTATAAGGATGTTCTGACAAAGAGGTCAGCACATTCTGCCAAGAGCAGGTTATATAATAAGGAATCAAAAAGTGTCTGCAGCAATATCAAATGGGGAATTTACATTTCCAATCTGGTTTGTTTGTTTTTTGCTAAGCTGCTAGGAAAAGGTTGTCAAAACCCAACCATGATATCAGCACAAAGATGAGGATGCTTTGGTCATATCTCACATTGAGCATGTAACATTGTGAGCCTCTTCTGAAATGACAGGTTTTGTACAGAAGAGAATCAAAGATCAGTTTTACAGAGTTGTGTCAAGAATACTAGCAAAAACAAAAAGAAAGAAAAGTATGACAAAGCCCTCTCTGGCATTTCTAGCAAAAACAATTGTATCAAATTTTATTATTACTGATAATTTCCACAGTGGTTTAACTCTGTAGCCATGGCAGTCCTTATCTCACATACCTTCACAAACCTTCTTCTCTGTATTATTCCCACCTTTTAGGTGGAAAACTGAGGTGAATAGTAGTGAAGTACCAACAGACTGCATTTTAAATCTGTATTTTTCAAAATATAACACTTAATACGCTACAGAGAACACTTTTTTAATTATTATTATTTTGGAAAGTCTTCAGTTTCCGTTACAACAGATAAAATAGAAAATATGAATGAAAAGGTCTGGATAAAATAAAGACCTAACTTTTGTGATTCAAGGACTATCATTTGTTTAATGTGTGTGACATTTCTCTGTGAGTACTTGACTTTGATTAACATGAGAGAGTCTAGCAGAATTAGATTTATAAAGTTATAGACTAAATGCTCTAATTTTATCTGTTTTTGAAAATAGTATGAAGTGTCCATTCTTAATCATGGTCATAACATATATACAGTCTAGATGGTGTGTATGTTTTATCTCATGGACATTGACATCCCCCACCCCACCCCCTTTAAATCATCCACCATTTTTATTGAAATTATAATTTTATGGTTACATTTTAAAATAAACCTAGCCCATTCTTTTTAGTTATTGCTCATAGTCAGAATCAACTATAACTATTAAAAAATGTAGGTCTGCATGCTTGTAAAAGTTTTGCCTATACACGCTTTTAAAATGTATTCCAATGAAAAGATTTGAACAACAAACTGTGTTGACACCAAAATGATGAAATATACATAATTATGTCATCATGAAAACTTGCATCCTAACATCTGACGCCATCATGCACATTTTGTCATTTATTTCCTTTTGCCACCATTATTCTACAAATGCTCATGGATTTGAATGTGCTGAAAGGTAGGAGGGATACAATTCCTAACTTTCTAGTTAAACCTTGTCTCCAGTTCAATACTAATAATGTATTCTTACTGATCTGAATGTACTGATAGTAATTTAATAGCAGAAAACAGGATCTGATGAAGAATAGAACTTGCAAAGCAGTAATCTTGCAGGAGTGTCACTATTTTCATTTAGTTATGTTCTGCCATGAACATCTCTCAGGTTGCATATGTAATTAATGAATTATACCATCTACTTGTAAAGTCACAAATCAATAAGAATTTTCTGAAAAGCAAATTAGAATGACAGCAGTAGGATGAGTGTGGAAATATGTTTTCTTATGATTAACTATTCTCTATTAATGAATAGACACCCTTTAAAAATGGAAAGTGATTATATAGGTAGAAAAGATCTATCATGCGTTAAATATCTATGCTCAAGAAAAGCTCCTGTAATTGAATTTTTATGAAGCTAGGTTCAATATTAAATAGTGACTTGAACAAAAATTGCTTCTAGAATTCTCAGTTTATAATTCTATATACACTATTGTCTCTAAAAGAGATCATGTTTATTTTGTTACAGATTTAGAGATAAGAGTTGTGGTAGCAGTTCTTTTCATGTAATGTGTGTATGCCCAACACAAATTTACTTGTCCCATAAAATTAAAGGACACCTATTGTATATAATTGATAAGTCTATATATGGAGTTATCCAGAGGAACAAGTGATGTCTTAGGGAAAGAGTTCCACTTGTAAGAACTAATTGTGCCATCAAGTCAGTCTTGACTCTTAACAACCATATAGATAGATCTTCTCCATGTCCCTATCCTGGTTTTTCAGGTCTTCCAACAGTGCACCCATCACCACTGTGACTGAGTCTATCCTGCTGCTGGCCATCCTCTTCTCTTTCCTTCCACCTTTCCCAGCATTACACCCTTCTCTAGTGTGATGGTATGTGGGAATGACCTTGGGAAACAGGAGAAGACCCACAGCCAGAGCAATGATCTGATAAGAGGCAGCTCAGTCCCCAGGAGAGGGAAAAGAATGGGAAGCGTTTCAGAAGGGACCTTCCCTAGTTTTCTAGAGACTAAAAAGTGAGGAGGGAATAAATACTTTCAGTCTTGCAAGATTCTGTTTAATGTAACCTTTCAATCAAGGTAGCGGTAATGCTCCTGGTTGTGCTTCTTATCTGGAATACTTTGAAGGGCTAACACTAGAGACCTAGGTCTTCTCATAATGTGTCTAAAGTAGGTTAATTTGAGCCTGTTCATTTGTGCCTCAAGTGAGAACTCTGGCTTGATTTGTTCAATGATCCATATGTTTGTTTACTTGGCTATCCAGAGTCTTCTCCAACACCAACATTCAAAAGCATCAATACTCTTCCTATCCTGCTTCTTCAAAGTATAACTTTTACTTCCATGGAGTAACATAGGGAATACCATGGCTTGCAACAAAGGACAGTAGGAAAGCATAGGAGTTCCTCAATCAGCTTCAAAGTTATTTGTTTCCAAGTAAGCTTAGCTGAACTAAGTGGAAGTGGATAAAACTTTGTTCAGTGCAACATGAAAAATCCAGAGTGAGGATGAGAAATGGGTGTGGACCTCTGGTTTGACTATGCACTTCAATTTTACTCCAGAAAACAATGGGTTGAATGAATGAATGAATGAATGAATGAATGAAGTGTGGACACTGCTATAAATGGTTGAAAACTGATGAACCAGGATATTTTCATATGTGCCTGCAGAGTGCTTTAGTGCAGTGAAATGTTGATAATAAATGACAGGATGCACTAAAAAAAGGGAGCAGCATGTAATTATAAATAGTGCTGATGAGATAAAGATGAAGATATACTTATTGAGCTCTATGGTGATCTGTGTTAACCACAGATTAGGCATTTTAATTTCCATCATTTTCTCAGTGGGTTTTAAAACTGTTGCATTAACTTTCAGGGACACTGGGATTCCTGATAGTAATATCCTGAGTAATGAGTTCACAGCACTAATGCAGCTACATTTAGTTTACTGTCCATGTTACAATAGCTTTTAGAGCAGGGAAAATAAAATGAAAAATGGCAGTAATGATGTAACACTTTTGATGGGTGAAGCATTTGATTTTCACATAGCATTATGGGAGCAGCTTTCCTCTTTTCAGCTTGCCTGCACTGCAGTTCTTCTTAATTATTTCATTTAATTTCTTGATGGCAATTCTCTTTTCTTTTGGTTAAAAGGCATAAAACAGTCTGTGCCAATGTGTGCTTTATTATAGCTGCATTCTGTATTGTGAATGTTCAGATTCTGCATAACAATGTGAAAATGCCTGAAATGTAATCTAATCTAATAAAGTTATCTGTCCAGAATGATATGTTACAATAATATATATTTAAAGGGGAAAATTGTATTGCAATTATCATCCTAACCAAACCTAGCAGGTCATCTTTAACATCCTTCAGTCGAACAAAGGAGAGAAATGTGAACTTGATAAATTTTTAATTAAAATGAACAATGGCAGAAAGGGAAAAACTTGCATTTCCCTGCCACCAAATAAGGCTGAAGTATAAAATGTTGGCTTCTTCTTCTGGAAGATAATGTGGCCTTGCATCAGTTAGTGTCTATCTGTATAAAACAGCAAGGGAGGAAAACATTTAAATATCCTCAGCCATGGTATTTCTATTTAAATCTGATTACACTGAAATAAAATTGTAGCTATTAAAGGTTTAAAAGAACTACGAATACAAGCAGTAAAAGGAGACAGTTAGTAAATGAGGTAGTAAAACATTTCAGCGGGGCAAACAGTTTATAGCATGCTGCTTCTTCTGTCAAGCTGCTCCATTCACCACAGACTTGTGTGTTGTTGCTTGAATTGCATTTAAGGCTACAATTAACCTTTCATGCCTAATGAAGCTGTTTTGCTAGGGAAAAAAAATAAAATGTATAATGCTGCCTTTCTTTTGCAAAAGTTTGGGAAAGGAAAGACTACTTCAAAATGAATCCACTTTCAGAGCCTATTGTTCTAATGAAATTTTCAATGTTGTACTTATACTTAAATTGCACACATTTTACAAAGCAATCTGCTTTGATGTGGTACATTTTATTTCTGTACTTATTAATTGTTCTACATAATTGCTATAAATAAAATAAACATCACACAAATACAAGCACACAAGTAATTTTACAGCTAGAGATTCACTGTTCAACTATTACCATTATATTGTCTTTCAGGATGACTGTAATATTTCTGTGTGTAACCTAAATAATACTGTTTTTCCCTCTGTTCCAATGCATGCAACATTATTTATTATTAATAATAAATTTCCTTTTCCACTGACTTATTTTATTGGGCACACTTTTAATGTTTGTATGTAAGCATTTGGAAAAAGAAGTATTGCTTGCTCTTTGGGCAAAGTTCATCAAAATAACCAGACCCATTTTTGTAAATAATGATAATATTAATCATCATCCTCAGCAACAAGTCTACACTTGAGGTTGGCAGACCAGATGAATAGGGCTTTGGAAACACCAGAAAATGAGCAGAAGGACATTCCTAATTTAGATGGATAAGGAGAAGGGAAATTAGTCTGGAAACTATAGGAAATGAGTCCTATATCCTGTTTGCCAATAGCATACTAGCTACTTACAGGCATAATTGCAAATCAATTCTACAGCTATTTGAAAAGGAATGATTTACTCCCTGTAGAACAAAAAGGGTGCTGCAAAAATGTGAGAGGAATGAAGGACCAGTTATTGATTAACAAGTTGGTTTTGAAGAATTCAGAAGAAAAGAACAAATTTACTTATGGCTTGGATAGACAATAAAAAGGCATTCAATTCTGTTTCATTTAGCTGGATTGAGATATGTCTTGAAATTTTTGGAATCAGCAGAAACATTCAGCCATTTATGAATACATCAATGAAGTTTTGGTGAACAAAGTTGATGGGGAAGAGCTAGGAGAAGTCAAAATTAAATGTGGAATTTTCCAATTTTCATTATCACCTTTACTTTTTATACTATCAATGGCCCCACTAACAACAATTTTGAACAAGACAAACTTTGGATATGAATTGGCCAAAAAAGGAGTAAAGAATTTTGCATTTATTCTATATGGATGATTTAAAATTATTTGGAAAAACAAAGGCTGAACTAGATTCCTTATTAAAAAGCATAAAAGAATTCAGTAAAGATATTGGAATGCAATTTGACATCAACAAGTGTGCAACCAAAGCCATAAAGGCAGGCAAAATTGTTGAAGATGTTGGAATACAGCTTGACAATGAAGATTTGATAACAGCAGTAGCACCAGAAGAAGACTACAATATTTGGGAGTTTTGTAGTCCCAATTTATTACAGAATCAAACCAAGGAAAGTATTTCTACCAAGTATATAAAACAAGTTCAGAAATTTTTGAAGTCAAAGCTAAATGTGGAAACATCATCAAAGCAATTAATACATGGGCAGTTCCTCTTATTCAATATACAGCAGGAATAGTTGAGTGTAGCCAGATGGAACTTGGTAATTTGGATCAGAAAACAAGAAAACGAATGACAATGCACCATGCTTTACACCCAAAAAGTGATATTGATCAGCTGTATTTCCCAAGAGCTGAAGAGGGTAAAGGACTTCTACAGGTGAAATAAACTGTGGAGGAAGAAAAGCATGGCCTGAATGACTACATTAAAAAAAGCCAAGAACCCTTGCTGAAGGAAATCAATCTAGAAAAGCTTTTGAAAACAACAAAGGTGAAGGCTGAGTATAGAAAAGAAACATTTGAAAACTGATTTGTTAATTGGAAGAACAAGCCAACGCATGGTCGATACTTGAAGGATATAGAAGGAAAAGCTGATAAAAACTCACATGGAGTTGGTTAAGATCAGGAGTGTTAAAGAAAGAAACTGAATGAAGGCTTTATTTTAGCAGCTCAAGAACAAGCTTTACCAGCTAAGTGCATGAAGGCAAAAACTGAACATGTAACAAACAACGGTAAATGTTGCCTTTGTAGTGAAAAAGATGAAACAATTGACCATTTGATCAGTGGCTGCCGCAAAATTTCACAAACTGGCTGCAAGCAGCATCTTGAGCAAGTTGCCAAAATTCACTGGAAACTCTGCCAGAAGTTTGGATTTGAATGTAGTAAAAACTACTGGGACCATCAAGTTGAGAAGTTTTGGAAAATGAGCAAGTTAAGATCTTATGGGACTTTAAGTTCCAAATAGACAGGCATCTTGTTCATAACATGCCTGATGTCACCATCATTGAAAAGAAGAAAATAAAAAGATAATTAAAATCTTTTCAAAAAGGTGCCTTTCATACAGTGTGCTTTCATAATTTCAAGCCATTCTGAGAACTGAATCCCAACACATCTGGAGAATACCAGATTAAGGAATGCTACAATAAACAGGTCTCATTCCTAGATGAACCTCAATACCTACATTTTCAAAATAGAGAGAAGGGTCTAGACTAGGCAGGTGACTTACAGCATTGAACCATGTTAATTTTACACTACTGTATGGCTTCAATGTTGAAAAATAGGAGCAGTCGTCTCAGAAGGAAGGTATTTTCAAATGGGGAATGCGTGAAGGGTCAGTAAATTAAACAAGCCATGAAAATAAGGGAAATAAGTGGTAGCTATCATAGGATTTACATTTCCAGCCAATAATATTAACTGTCTTGGGGGGAAAACCTATTAAATAAAGGTAAAGCATATAATAAATATTTAAGTCCTAGCATTTTTATTGACTCTTGGTTGCATTTTGATGTAAATTCTACTTGCCGGCAGCATCTGTGCACCATTTTGACTTGGTAAATGAAATTCTTTTAGGTGCCAGTGTAAAATAATGAATTGATCCCTCCTGTTAATTGTATTGCTTTGATAACAAGAAAGTGTGTTGAGCCCAGAGAAAACAGTAAGTGAATTTCTTTGGATGATTTGTGTGATGCTTTGAGAAATGATCTTCTGGAGTGACCTGATTTTAATGGAACTTTGCCAGCATGCCAGTAGGTCTCAGAATGCAATGCTAGACTGAAAAGCATGGCTCCTTCAGAATTGCTAGCCTAAACAAAATAAGTGGAATAGCACACAAATAAACCTCTTGTAGGAAAATATGAATTTGAGAAAGTGATTTCTTTGATAGAAAGTACCATCTCCAGGATCACTGAGGGGCACATTTAATCCCTGTCATTTGATGTTATTTTAGAGAATCACTTATTCTGTTGTAGAAGCAGAATAACTAAAGAAGAATCCTGCATTTAACAAGCAGGTCTTATCCTGCTATTTACTTTCTAGCAAATGCACTCACAATAAAGTGGCTTGTTCACTGGAGCTGTTATGGACCCAGACAGTATAAACAAGGGTGAGGATTGCACAGCGGGGAAGGGGCACAGTATGGATGGAGGTCCTATTGCATGGGAGCTTGAGACAATTGGATTTATGGAATTGGGATTTTCTTTTTTAATCACATTAATTCTATTTTACATCATAAGCTACATTTTAAGTGATTTCAAAATATTGGGAAATCATAATGCTGAAATCAATGGCCTAGTCAATTAGAAAGGGCAAAAAGGAATTTGGAGACTATATGTTGCTCTGAGGTTGCATGTTCCCATCCATGCTTCCAAATCATACCTCTTTGTAAGGGAATAATTGAGATTGGCCACGAAAGAGATTCTACTATTATGTATAGCACTAGGGCAACAGTAAGAAAGGCTTTTGTGCTGATATTAAGGGAAATAGTTACATATAAGGGAATAAAATGAATTTCTTAAACTAAGAGTAAAGACAGGAGGTAGAATTCAGGGATCAGTAAGAATTCTTGTTCAGTAGCCCTGATGTCTAGATTAGAGATTTGATGTCCTCTTAACAACTTAAAGTCGTATTATGGATATAACACAGGAGTAAACAATTTGTGGAGTTCTAGATATTGCTGCAGTACAATTCCCAACTGCTGTTGCCAATGCCCAATGCTGGGTGCCCAATGCCCAATGCAGACAGATGCTAGGAGTGACACAGTTTACTTTGTGAAAAGTGTGTGAAGTTGCAGATATTTTTTTTCTTACAGCTTTATTTGTTTGCACAGATTTGCTGGTAAATTCATCCTGAACGATAAAAGCAAGCATTAATACTATTAAGAATACTTTTGTGCCAAGAATACTAGCCCAATTACCTTGCTATGTATCCGAATTATGCAGAAGTAGGGCCTGATAAATACAATAAAATAAAGGATTTCATTATACCTGTGTATTTAATTAACTCTGAATGTGCCATGTACATTTTTGTATAGTTGGTGAGTTACAACAAAAAAGAATAGTACATTAAATGTTCAGCTTGTGAATCTTCCCCAACCCACCTCCCTCTTGAAAAGCTGGGAGAAAGCTATTTCACCGGAAAAGTCATTCTACTTTGGAACCTTCTCAGAATGGACAAATACAACTCAGAATTCAGTTCAATAGAATGTGAAGCAGTATGATAAATAAATAGGAGAATGTCCCCCACCTTGGGGAACATATTTCTGTATGCATGCATGATGGAAAGCCAGGTGTCCACATCACTGATCTGAACAGCAAGTTATGGCAGCATAATTCAAATTCAGAGCCAGACTTGGAATTTTAATCTTAATAACTTCATGACTGTTTTCCAGTGAAATAGCATTCATTCCCACTTCCCAGTTTACAGAAAGTCACATGAATGTTAATATGGCTTTTTCACTGCATTGTTCATGAGCTTGTTTTGCAGTTAAATTACTCCAGTGAAGTTAGAAATTTCATTTCTCACTCAGAAACAGACGTGTACTGAAAAATTAATATAGGCTGGAACTCTGTTTGTTTAAAAAGTGCTTTGGACCTCACACAAACTCAGTCTTTCTCTCTACTATCCATTCAGTCAGCTCATTGGCTTTAGCCTTGTCTCCTTTGAGGACTCATACAGAAGTCTTTAAAAGGATATGGCTGCTTTAATTAGTAACGGTGAGGTGCTATGCTGATCAAAGACTGAAATAAATCTTCCAAAACGTTTTCAAAACATGCACAATTTACATCCTGGACATGAAAGGTTAAAGGAAGCTGGAAAATATTCTCACAATAGGGTATTACATTGTTCTTTTTATCTTTTCTTACAGGGCTGGCAATTGCAAGTGCACTGATAGACATTTCACAACAGAAGCCCTCAGAGTGTAAAGATAAGAGTTTGGGAGTCAGAAATCGAAAGCATCACCTTTCAACCCGTCAAGGGACTTGCGTCTGAGATAACAAGAATGCATTTGTATATTCTGTAATGTTTTATTCTTCTCCCCCCAACCTTTTTTTTTTTAAGAGCTTCCATTGAAAGCTAAAATACAGCCTCAGTTTTTATGGAGGCAATCTCTGGATGGTGGCAAAGATGATGGTAAGAAGTATCAAGCTTAGATGAATTAACATGTCTTCTTCCCACTGAGCCCCCAAAATGTGGTGTCCTAATGGGCAATGTGAATATATTGGCTGAACTTTAAGAAAATATTCTAGTATCAGTACTAATATAAAAAAATATTTCTCCATGATTCTTATTATCCCTACCAGGAAAAAAAGGAAAAGTATAAATTGCTTTATAACGGGGAAGGAAATATATATTTGAAAATTTAAATATTTCTGAAGGACTCATTACATAGGTAGAAGTAATGGGTTACTCAGTTTTTCAGTTTGATCAGCATTCAGATACCTTCAGTTAAATAAAGCAGGAACTGACATTGTTAGGGATATAAATATTATTATCACTCCCCAGGTATGACAGTAGAACTCAAGCTAGGTGTTAGACTAATACAACAAAAATGTATTTCAGTGAAGCAAATATAACAAGAACAAAATACATATATTTCAATAAGTAGAAAGTTGGATACATGCTTATCAAACATACCTTTCAACAGCAGGATAAAGTATAAGAATTCAGAATGTGGAATGCAGCAGAAAGAACATTCCTGTCTTCCATAGCAAACCAACTCATTGTAAGGGCTGTCTGAGTGTGGAAAAGCCTATCCAGCGGCAAAGTATCAACCACCATTCCATTTTTTTCCCCTTGCCCCAGCCATGTTGAAAATTGAAAGACTCGGGAGGGCAGAGTTGAAAAACGTTATATTCCTACATAGAACTGCCTTGAATTCTGCATTAATGTAATACTGATGGCCAATGAAATCCATGGATTTAAAGCCAGTTGCAGATTTTAGCCTTCATATCCAATGGGAAAATCATTGCCATGATCACTACAAAGTAATGTTGCTCTGGCTATATTCTCCCCTTTATTGCAGCTATTAAAAATCCTCTCTCTATTAGAAGCAAATATATATTCTTCTCCCTTTAAAATAATCTTTAAAAGCATACATTAAACTATCCAATGGCCTAGTAACAGTTTTCTTGTTGAGGGCTGTTGGAATGGCATTTTGGTACAGAACATTACCAAATTGCTGTATACCAATCAAAAGCTAGAAGAAAACAATTTTCTAGCTTACCAATTTCCACTACTACTTTATTAAAAGCCACCTCATAAGCCATGGGAGAGCAAAATGGTACCTGTAGGCATCAGAGCATACATGTTTTCCTATAGTATCCACAGAATCCGAACATTAAATTAAATTAAAAAAAATAATTATTAAAATCACATGTCTAAATATTGTAGTATTACCAAAACTCAACATTTTTGGTTATTTCAAACTTGTGAAACTTGGAGTGAGAATGCCAAAATCTTATAAGATGTGGCAGAGTCTCAATATTTTGGCCGTATGATCTCACTAGGGTTCACCTGCAGTACCTCATGAACCATCGGTGCTCCCTAGACCATAATCTGAGAACCACTTATCTAGTTATTTGAAAGGGAATAATAATTATAAAATACTTTCACTGCTTCATAATTGCTGCTTAATTGTAAATCCACTTTATATTTTCAGCAGCCATTCTTTTGTTGATGAAAGGCCTTATGATTTAATTAGGGAGATCTGATTTTTGCCATTTTCCTGTGTCTCCTTCTGCCCGCCCTCCCAACATCCCCCACCCTTGCTACAATACAGTTCTCCAAACATAAGGAGGACTCACATCACATTTAATGAGAAAAGGTCTTTCAGAGGTGGGCAAGAGATTAATTGTTTTGACAACATTATTCTTTAGGCTTCCTGGTCTTAAATCTAGAAAACATGAAATGCATTTAAATAATAGAAATACTATTATTTCTATTATTTCTATTTCTATAAGTACTTAATTTGTTTACTTAACCTTATACATTGCAGTGTACATTAAATGTACAATTTTAGTTGAAGGTGATATGTACTCAAAACTGGTAATGGCAGATTACATGTTCCAGTGGACTTGTTAAAATCCCGGGGAAGAGCAGAACAGCAGTTCTTAGTCTGCAGAGCTGCTATTGTGGTAATTATGCACAGAGGTATAAACTCTTACCAGTGGTGGAGTTGTGTTAATTAAAAAAGGCATACAAATATAATTGGTGTTTATATTATATTTTCATTTTCTTCCAGGAAGGGGAAAGATTTAACTGTTTACAGTTTGACTACATAGTTCCTTGCATGTCAAGATGGTGCAGTAGCAGTAATAAAGGCCTGTTTGTGACTTGATGGTGTTTCTCTTTGAAAATAATTTGACTACTTAATTTGGATGAGGAGTGATTGTTATGAAAAAAGATAGAAATCCATTAAATTGAACTGTTGTACAGTATGTAGTTCTCTCTCATCCAAGATCATTAGGTTACATTTTATCATGATTGCTCTACTGTTTTTGATTCATTGCACAGTGATAAATTATGCTGGCATGATTGTTGGAATATTTTCATTCTCAAAAGGAGACTGATTCTTATTCTAAAGTTATGTTGTCAAGGTATGATGATTTTGTTTTAAATTCAATTTCTTATTCTAAAACAAAGGGTTACAGTTCTACAGGCATTTTGTGTTAAGTCTATTCGATATCCTTATTTACATATAAATACTTCCAGAATTAGGGAGAGGGAGGGCTATTGCTATCAGAAAAAAATCAGTTAATGAACTTTTGTAGCTCTGATAAGGCTCTTGTTTTGTTTGGTTTGGTTTTTAAAAAACCTATTATGCTAATATTGATTTGGTAAAAGAAAAAAATGTCATTAGAATGGGCATGTATGATGAGTAAGGGGATTATTCAGGGAATAACAAACGAGAAATAAAAGACTTGGCTGTAAATTTCCTAATTTGTTCCTACCTATTTGAATTTTTGATGCATCGTATATTTTACCTCAGAAAGTGCAAATACCTCTAAAGAGTTCGGTATTCCTGAGATGGAAATTGAAATTAGGAAGCTATTCGAAGGAGAAGCTGACATATACCTTCAATTACTCATTGGTAGATCACATGAATATCCATTTTGGTCTCAATAAACAGGCATGGTAGGCCTAATTTATGAATGCAAAATATTATTGGCTCTGCTTTAGGAAATAGCATATACCAATTTTTATTTTTATTTTAATCTGCACTCAATTGTTACCGATTCTGCAGCAACTGCCTGGACAAGTCCCTGCAGTTTTCAAGGCAAGGTGTTTCGGAAGTGGTTTGCCATTGCCTCCTTCCTAGAGCAGAGCCCAGCTGGCGAGCGTAGGAGGTGGGGTTTCCATTGCTTTGCACTCAATTGTTACCGATTCTGCAGCAACTGCCTGGACAAGTCCCTGCAGTTTTCAAGGCAAGGTGTTTCGGAAGTGGTTTGCCATTGCCTCCTTCCTAGAGCAGAGCCCAGCTGGCGAGCGTAGGAGGTGGGGTTTCCATTGCTTCGCGCCTTTTTCGGGCGTGCGTGGCTTCCGTGTTACCGGCAACTTGGTCCTGTCTCCCATGCAAGGGCCGCCAGCCTTTTTCCTCCCACCGGAGAGTACCCATTTATCTACTCACGTAAGTTTTTGAGCTGCTGGGTTGGCAGGAGCTGGGGAGGAAGCAGGAGCTCGCTCTGCTGCATGGTGCTGGGCTCGAACCGCTCAAGTGTCAACCATTTCTGGCCGGCAACTTTCAGTGTTATTAAGCCTCTGCGCCACCCCATCCCCTTATACCAAATTATATGCTGCTAATACAAAATTCAGGCCTATCTGGCCTATGAAGACACCTGCAGCTCTGTAACCATCTGATACAGAGGTGTCTCATCAGTTTAAGGGAGGAATGAGAATCCAATTTACTGTGCTAATCCAGTGATTAGGAGGAGGAAACATCTCCAGAATGGTATGATGTGTGAGTTCTTTTCCTCAATTCCAAATATGGCAATATTATAATTGGACAGTGATCTATATGAATAAGACTTCATTATGTAATTCAGCATTCTTCATTGGCTTTCTGGGCATCCAACATTGGTTCTCTGGGCACTGTAGGTTGCACCTGCATAAAAGCTTTCATTTGTGCAGAATTTACTATAGTTGGATTTTCAGATAGGAAGCCCCCTCCTGAGGAGGCATTAAGGTACTTGCTTGTCAGAATTATCTCAAGAAATCCAGAAGATCTGCTTGATGTCAAAAGTGGGTTAGCCTGAAAACAAAAAATGCAATAGACAGAATGCAGAAATGAAAACAGTAGCAAATAAAACAGGCTTGAGCTTGAATCATTTTAGCCAATACCAATGATAGCTTATAATCCTGAAGCAATATTAGCAGTAGGGACTTTTATCCACCTGGATTTCCCCTGGCCAGAAAATGCTTGATCTGGCTAGATTGAATGGATCCAGAAAAATGCCATAGATTAAATCTGGGAAGCACTGGAACTGGCACTTTAATTCCAACTCAGGATCCATCTTCAGGCATATGCTGCGCTAATTAGAACTGTTGTTGTAACGTTGGCTGGGGAATTCTGCGGGTTGAAGTCCACACAGCTGAAAGTTGCTGAGCTTGAGAAACACCGTTCTAAGGGAATGTTACACTTCTATGCTGGCCTTGCCAACATAACTGGGAGTTTAGCTCACAGCACTTTAAATATGGGTTCTGAGCTGACTAACCCTCTTGAGTGGAACCTGACTTTTAAAGTGTGCCTGATTGGGGCAGGTTTAAGTCACATGGCAATTAATAAATAGGTATTGGGCTAACACAGTTGCTAGGAGAAAGACTATGTCTTTGCATCTACTAAGTAAAAGAATATTGCCAGCAAGTCACAACCTTAACACAACCAAACTCTGCCAGTTACGACAGCTTTTCCTGGAGGAGCCAGGTGTTCTAATCAGCTATGTCAGCCCTCCTGGCCCTCCAGAAGATGCAGCAATCACACAGCTACAACAGTCTCACAAAGGGCTAGTCAGTGGTCATTTTTCATGTCAGGCCAAGCCTTGCAAATGGAAAGGTAGAGATTCAGCTTTTAAACCGCTTTTGATTCCCCCCCCCTAAGTTTTAATTTGGCACATGATGCTACCATTTCAGCCCAACTGAGATTCTTTGCAGGACAATTTGGAGGCTGCTATGCAATCCTTTCCTCATCCCTGCTAGCTCTGCCTTAGAAGAGGTTCAGGAGGAATGTTTCAGAAATATTTTGCAGTGATATCCTTGAAGATACCCAGCTGAAACTTGGCAGGGTTAATGTCCTCTAAAGAGTTTATCATCCCTGCTGCTTTCATCTTATTCTGCCAAAAGAAGAAGCAGCTGCAGGCATTTTTATGCTTCCCCATTATAACTTATGGACAAATAGTTTTTTGTTTTTTTTATCAATTCTCAAACCAGCTTGGATCAAATTGGCTTGCCCTTGAAGCTCAAATCACAAATGCAAATCTAATCATGCCCTCTTGGCATACTGAATTCCTGCATGAGACTGCTTATGAAGATGATTTGAAAATTTCAGTGCAGAAGCTGAGGGGAACCAGCATTTCAATATTATAATACTTGTCCTGCAGCCATTGTACTGCTTACCAGGCCCAATACAAAGTGCTACCTACATACCAGCATTTACCTACAAAGACTTAACATGGCTTGGCTCTCACTTGCCTTGGGACTGTCTCTCCCATGAGGTCTCCCCTAGAAAGTGTTCTCAGAGTCTTCATCCTACGAGAAGTTTGAGAAATAGAAGCTCATAGACAGTCCTTCATGGTGGAATATTATGGAAAAGCCTACCATGGAAGTTTGGTTAGTCCTCTCTTTATTGGTTTTTCAGTAGAAGTTTAACCCAATTTTCTTCTGAGAAGTATCTGGGCCTTAAAGGTGGCATTAGATTGCCCTTGAGGGTTTGTTTAGATGATTTTTGGAGATGTTTTAAATATGCTAATTGTGTTAGAAGGGAGGACATCTTATGGTCATTTTACTTATGTGTTTGATTCATGTAAACCTCCTTAAAAGAATTCATTTGGGTGCTATGCAAGTAGATGTAAATCAATCAACCAATCACTAGGCATATCTATATACTACTAAAACTCTCCTGTCTGTGTGTAACCTTCAATTGGCCAAAAAGGTACATAATAGAGCAACAATTTTTGAAGCAAGGTGCCTCAAATGGGCTAACTTAAAGAATGCATCCAAAACCTGGGATTGATGACTCCCTTGGAACTGAAATTTCAAGAAACTTCACACCAGTTTCGCAAAGTTGTGGCCGCTGCAGTGTGACCACGTTTAGCCATGGTCACGTGTTCATGATTTCAGTCTACACTTCCCAGAAACCCATAGGTTGTGTGGCACAAGGGAAGATGGGAGGGGCTTATCCCTGCTGTCTTTCCCACCTCCTTCTGGCCCCTGTACCCAATCAGCTGGCAGCAAGGCCCAACAGGCAAGTAGCAATTGGCTGCTTTGGAACCGAGGCCAAAAATTTAAATCTCTTAATGGTAGTGGGCAGCGAGGGAAGGATGAGGAAGCAACTTGGTTGCCTGCTGGTGAGGTAGGGCTGGCTGGGGGGCGATGGCAGTTGACAGTCAGCCCTCTTCCTCCCTGGAGGGAGATAGACATTGGGGACACACCGGGATGGGGAGCGAGGATGCAGTTTCCCTTGTGGTCTCCAGCTCCCTTTGTTCCCCCTCCCCTCAGCTAAGTGGCAGGCAGTTCTGCAGGTCAGCTGAGGAGGAGGGGGAGAGAAGGAGGAGGAGGCTTCACCAGGGACCTGCTGAGGGTTGTGAGGGGAGGGAAAATGGTGCCAGCCCATATTATATGTGTAAAGAAGGATGACCCAACGGATTATGGGTTGTCTAGTATAGTTCTAAAAGGCTTCTGTGGAGGATAGAACTCTTTTTATCTGAATATATAGATGAACACTTAAAGGGCCACAGTTATACTGTTGCATTTAATTTAATCAACTCAGTTTTAATTACATTAAAATGAAGTTATATTTTGTTTTTGTCCTTGAGCCACCTACTTCTTTTTCCTTTCCATACTTATTTGGAGTTTGGCTCCTGGAACACCACTTTAATGTCAGTTGGGGCTGAAAAAAATGGGCACTTCAGCTATAGACTGTCACTGCATTGGTTATGCCACATAAAACAATGATGTGCCAAAATAAGCCAGGGAAATCAGGGACCTTTGATCAAACCCAGTCAATTCGAGCAATTGTAGTTTTGTAGTGGCAACTGTGAATGTCCATTTATTTGCATACAGAATAAGAAGAAATATTACTAGCTAGCATTCAAGTAACTGCTGTTTGGTAGATTTTTCATTTACAGTTGAGTGTATGTTTGCTGCTTTATGTAATGAAACATGTTATGTTTGGTCTACCACACCTAAGCTGCAACAATCTAGATAAACACTAAGTGACCAAAAAGTCTTAGAATTTACCAAAGAACTGAAATTTAAAAAATTGAAAAAAAATATTTATAAATAGTGTATATCAGAGTACAACAAAGAAGAAATTAGAAACCAAATATTATCTATAATGTTATAGTAGGTTTTTCCTTTTTTCCTTTTTCTTTTTTTTTAATGGTATCTTTAAATAACAAAATAGTGGAGACCCTGGCACTCAGCTCAGAAATTCAAAAAGATCTCTAAAATCCCTTTCCATATTGTTAAAAATAATTTAATGTATTCTGTTTTGTTTGCTTTTTATGATTAGTTGTAAAAAATGATTTTAAAAAGAGTTTTAAAAAAGCCTTCTCTATCTCTTTGCTGCCGATTAGTGGTAGTGTAGAGTTTTGCAACCCAGATTTGGTAGCCCTAGGTAAATACAATGAAGAGTCTTTGTGAAAAGGAACTCTAAAGGAAATGCAATGAGAATTTTCTATTATTTGGCCTGGAAGTCTGCTGA